CAGGAACTTAGCCCCTAAGTCTTCATCTCTAGGTTTTTTTCTCAGGGTCACTTTTGTAGTGTTTGCCTGGTGTTCCTCTGAGCTTCTCTCAGCAACCTTGCTCTTTTTTGCCTCTTTTACACAGTTATGCAGACCTTCCTAAAGCAGCGGTCAGCATAAATGTCTTCACTCACATGTCCTTGGTCCATGCCATTTTTTTGAGTCTTAACACAGATGTTGTTTCACAGAGGAACTTAATTTGTCTCCTATTATGATCATCAATAAAGAACAGCAGTCTCACCTTCCAGTTTTAGTGGGATTTAATGTTACCCACAACATGTTTATTTTTATGTTAGTAATAATGTATATTATGATTAGTGAACTAAGGTTTTGGACCTAATTTCTGAACACACCAGCAGAGATACTGGTTTTTGCCTGTTATGCAGGCTAAGTCTATTTGCATGATCTGGTTCCTTCTGACATTCAGAATTTGACCACCCTCAAATTCAGGTGCAGAGTTTCACAGCTGTCCCATCCCTCAAACTTTTTTATTAATAAATAACCAACTCAAGTCCTAAACGCTCCAGAACTGTCTTGTCTTCTTTTCACCACGTTACAGGAATGATGCCAAGAACAAAAATCACAGAGGCATCCCATGCTGTCACCGACCCCTGGGGACAGGTCTGCTCCAGAAACACTTTACTAATCATATAATCTGTCAGCTACACTGGCGAAGTGCTCCTTGTCCAGATGCAGCTTTTCTGGCAATGCTGTGCTTTGTGCTGCCCTGGTAACACCCACCCTTCACCAGCAAAACAAACCGTACCAGTAAGGGAGTAGTTTTGTGCAGTCACTGCTTCTACATTAGGGGATTTTGCCACCACAGCTGCACCGGATCAAACCAGCATGTCTGCCCCATAGACACCAGATGTGCATTTGGAGCTGGTCTCCTTTCCCACTTCTGGGCAGAGCGGTGTAAGCAGGGCTCCTGGGTGCTTCGGGAATAACAGCAACAGATAGGAGAAAGGCAGAGAGTTATTGCCCATATACGGGGTCGAAGCGAGGAAAGAGGAAGACAAACTCGAGAGATCCGAGGCAGGGAGCAAGGTGGATTTAGAAGAATACTGGTAAGAGGGAGGACTAGTCAAGGGGGTGGCTAGAGAGGCAGGCCTGGGGCTGCTTAGAGAAGGGGAAGGGAGGCACGATGCTCTGCTCGCCGAGGCTCTCGTGTCCCGCCCGGTGGGCTGCAGCCCCGGCCGGGACCCCGCCGTCAGCTTCCACCGCCTCTGCTCCCTCCCTCCGCAGTCTCCATGCAACATCGCAGCGTGGGCGTCTGCTCGTTCCTTCATTTGCATAGAGCGCACAATTGGCCAATGGGCAGGGAGCGCTGGCTTGTGATTTGCATTAGGCCGCGCTGGCGGCCAATGGGATGGCGGCGCTGGGGCCTGTTTGGAACGCGATGTTTCCAGCCGTGCCGGGCGCCGGGCGCCGGGCGCGGGTGAGGTGTCCGGGGCGGGGGCAGCCGCGGAGGAAGGATGTCGGTGGCGGGGCTGAAGAAGCAGTTCCACAAAGCCAGCCAGGTGAGAGGAGCGGACGGTCCCTAGGGCAGGGCCAGGAGGGGGCCTGGCCACTCCTACGTGGCATCCAGGGGTTAGGCTCGCCCTCCACTTCCTCTGCTCGCTCAGGCCAGGTTTCCCTGCCAGGTGGAGGGATCCTGCCCCATCCCCCGAGGAATATCGCTCCTCACTCTCCCCGGTTCCCCTCCGCGGCCGGAGGTGCGGGGGCTTCCTTCTCCCCCCGAGGTTTTTCCTCCTGGTCATGCTTGCGGGGCAGGGGAGATCCCATGATCACCAAGGTGGTTTTCCCAGGGGAGGCCTGCCCCTTGCACTCGGGGCAGCCGTCTGACCCCTGAGAGTTTCCCCACATGCAGGAAACTGGACTGCAACAGTTTGGGGACTGGTTTCTGGCTTTCTCCCCGGTCTTTTGGCTAGGAGCGGGTGAGACTAAAGGGCATGTGAACCCAGTATCTCTGGGCCCTGGGCTTGCACAAAGGATGCCTACCACAGATTTGGGGAGTACCTGAAGACCCAAACCAGTGGGCCTGGGAAAGAGGATACTTGACCAGTGGTAGAGCCACACAGACTTGAACGGTTGAGCTCTGCTCAGTCAAAACTTGGAACTTGACTGTTGGCCTTGCCCAATAGAATTGGGAACTGATTTGGCCCTTGAAATGGAAAAAATCATATCCTCTTCCAGGGTCAAGAATTTACCTGCTACTCAGGGATTTATCTGCAAGGGATGCGCGCCCTCTCACCCAGGGGACAGCCCCTTCCCTGGCCCCTTCCAGAGCCAGGATTTTCCCTGTCATTCCAGGGGTTCCTTTCTGCTTTCTTTCAGAAGGATTGTTCTTTATTTGGCCTTTATTGCTACGTGGTTTGTGACTTGAGGCCTTGAGAGAGGATGAGCACTTTCTTGTGCTTGGGACTGCACACCCCCCACTTCTCCAAAGTATTTGTTGCCTTTTTCATCCCAGGGGTTGGCTGCAGACAATTTGGGCGACTGACCTTTTGGTTTTTTGACCATCACATCTGGGATGTCGCTCATTTGCCCTCTGGGGGTTGCCATCCCTTTTCCAAGGCTCCCCACCTGCCCATTTTCTAGGTGCTCATCCTGTTGTGTTAGGCTTGGGCTGCCAGAAAGAGTTGCCTCTTCTTTTCCATTCTTTACCAGTGGCCAGTAATGCAAGTACGTAGAATATGTTTGGAAAAGGAGCAGGGAAAATATATTTACCATCTCTCATCTTTCCTTGTGGTAGTGTTGTTGCAAGGCATCTATATAATGTATGAATAAACTGGGGTCAAGAATATGCACCCTCTGCTCAACTCTCATCATGCCCCTGAGAACATATGGAGTTCCCTGAATAAAGACATCAAAGGGATAATTTGTAGATAGTTTTTGCTTGTTGTGCACCTTGAGAATAACATCACATGCTGACAGACAATGTAACATTATCTGTGGTATGTCCATAATGAAGAAAACAAAAGACCCGTAGTTCATGAAGTCAGAGATGTAACCAACTACACAAGCAATAAACAGCATAGAAATTGCTAGTAACAGCATGCTGCAAGCTACCCCCAAGGAGGGGATGAGTTAATAGAAATAAAGAAGTTTTATGTCCAGAGCAAGCTAAGCGTAATGGGAAAATTTCAGTTGATGGAAGGTAACAATTTTATAGATCTAAATGGATATCTACTAATACATTTATGGATTTCCTATTAGCCAGGAGATTTTAAAGAGCATTGCATGACTCAGAGCCTGATCTTGTTTCCATTTAAGTCAGTGGTAGAGCTTCTGTTGATTTCTGTGGTTAGACTAAGTTCATAGTTTTGAATTCAGGCAACTCAAGACACCAGTGATTCTTGGGGGAAAGAAATATTATTAGCTGAAATCCCATGTTGGAGAAAAAGGTAATATTGGATTATGTTTTCTAAATTATTGAAAAACATCCAAGGCATTTCTTTAGAATAAGTAAGTGTTGGAAGAATTCAGCAGCCAGTGTTGGATGAAATGAAAAAGGGTAAAGTAATAGATGGGGAAACACATAAAGAACAAAATGGGAATTCATACATGGCCAATATGTATGTGTTGTCTAATTCATACAACTTTGCCCACATTCAGCATTACATTACATGTATACACAGCAACACTGTACATTAAAAAAAAATAAAGGGTAATAAAGTGGTGATGCCAACTAGGGATATTACAGAATTAATTTAAAGGACAGTGTACTTTATAATAATGTCAGAAAATGTGGAGCATAAAAGGAATATTGTCCAACAGGGCTTTTTGTTAGTGCATAAGGAATGAGAGAGAATTGAAAAAAGATATACATGCCTTTCTGCTTATACAAGAGGTAGGCATTGCTTGGGAAAAACTGAAATTAATTCTTTGCCTTGGTGTTCCCAAAGGAGGATGGGGACAGATGACAGAAACTGGCAAATTTCCCAGAGGAGGACGAGGAAATACTGAAGGGAATGAGGATCATGCCAGGACACGTGATTAAGGAATGAGAATAGCTAAAGACTGATAGGACCTGGAGACAGAAATTCTGAAGGATAAGAGAATCTCCATTATATGCAAAATTTGAGAATATACAGGTCATGACATTTTTTAGGCACTTATGTTATGAAAGACTATTACCCTGTAACGACAGATTTGATGATGCTTTAAACTTGAAACTGGAATATGTGATATTCTTCTATTTAGTGTAACAGTAATTGGCAGTATTTTCTGTACTGCTTACCTCTGCAGACAGAACACCAAAAGTTTTCAGAGAAATTCTAGGAAAAGAGACTTTTTTCTTCCTGTGCTGCAATTTTTACATCCCCTTTCCACAAGCTCAGTTGTTCACTGGGTTTACTTTCAAGTTCTGGGTTTCAGGACAAACGCCATTACAAAAAGTTTTGTGTGCCACGTTGTTAACTTGAACCGTTGAATAACTGTTGTTCTGATTAGAGTGTTAATGTAGTGTGTCAGAACTCAATGAGCAAGTAAATTTGAGTTTATATTTTAAAAAGTGAATGAATAAGTGGTGGCCCTATTTTGCTAGTTTTGAAGTGTTTACAGAGAGTTAAAGATTGCGTGCTGCTACTTCTTGGTTAGTGTCCAAACAGGCCCTCTTACCTGTAGATTTGCAACTGTAATTCATGAATTAATAATCAATATTTTTCCCATCCTGGAATTTTTTCCTAATTATACTTAATTCCTCCTTTCCATCTCTATCCCCCACCTCCCCAGGAGCACAGGTACACAGTGATGATGCCCCCTAGTTCAGCAGTCCCTTGTTTGATAGTGGGTGGTATGTGTGATTAGTGTTGCCTATAAGAATCTGTCTGATTCAGTACATGAGGGTTAGGGACAGAAATTACACATAAACTGGTATAAGTAATTGGAAACCAGCTCAGATTTGTAGCACAACAGAAGTTCAGTGCACATAAACTGCTTTCAAAATGGCAGGAACCAGTTTAAGATTGACTTGGATGGATGTAGTATCAGATTTAACTGATTTAGATTAAATTGGTTTATTGAACTTCTGTCTCACGTCCCCTCCAGATTCAAGTTAACTCACAGTCCCCAGCAACCCAGGATGCTTTGCATCTCTCCTGCAAACCCCGCCTTGCAGGGTGGGCAGGCTAGCCTTGGTCCAAGTTGTCTGCTTCGCCAAACAGGGGGCATGCTCTAGTGCCCCCGACCTTCTGGCCTGAGCAACTGCAGGCATGTGGCTGCATTTCTGGAATGAAAAGTGAATATCTGTTCACTTGCTTATCGGTTCAGCCTATGCAGCTTCGATTAACCTGTGAAGAATGAATCGATTCAGCCTTGGGCTTTTTGATTGTCTGGTCTTAGCCGAGGAGCTCACCTCTCCAGTGTTACTTTTTAGTTGTATTTTTGCCTATTCCAACTTCTGAAAGGCAAATTTTGCTTTGCCTTTCTATCCTTGTAAGCCCCTGACTTGACTGATTTTGGTATTTGTCCTTAAATGTGCAGTGGCTTTTTAACTCTCTGGTTTAAGCAATAAGAGTCAGTCTACATTCAAGCTACACAAGCAGACTGAAACTGGCAGCATCTTTCACGTATTTCTGTGTTACCAATGCATGTCTCCTGAGTGAGGACACATTAAGCTGGTGAGCTGTGCTGCTCTGCTTCTTGCCCCATGTGCTGCTGTGTTGCTTGTTACTTCTCTGTTCTGGTACATGCTGAGGGCTAGCTACCCCTGACCTAAATCATGGGTGGACTGCATTTTCAAATGCAACTGGGGATATTTTAGAAGGTTTTTGTTTATGTGGGGTTTTTTTATTTTATTACAGTCACAAAAGAAATGGTGATTAAGATACCTTAACATACAAGATGTGCTGTTATTATCGATTGACCTCTAAAGACTTTATTGACCCCAGTAGGAGAATGTAAAGAGCCATTAAGTGGGATTTTCAAGGCAACTGGAAGCATTTGGGTACCTACTACATGAGTGTTTAAACTCCTTCCTTCCTTAGGCACCATTTGAAAATTCAAGCTATGATACCTCGCTCGGGGAGTTTGCAGCTCAGCTGTAGTCGGTACTTCTTTAAAAATAAATTAAATACAAGATCTGTTAGTGCAAAAGTCCTTATGCAACCATGCCCTTTATATCTACAACCTTAGGCAACTTGGCTTAGGTAGTTATAAGTATTTTCTTTTCATTGCCTTCGTAAAGAGAACAATTGTAAATATTTCTCTGGGAGAAAATGTGTGGCTTCCAGTTACTGGTGCTCAGAGCATAAAGTGATATCTAACAATGTAAAGAGAATATTCTTCAGTGACCTTGTCTCTGTATATCTCCTGAATGATACAACCCTCCTCAAGTAATGGATCTGTTTGTAGCAAATGTTTCTGAAGGGCTACTTGCATTGATTTCTCTAGTCTCTGTCACCACCAGCTGCTTTGAGGCTGGATTCTGATCTCACTTTGTTCTAACTACATAGATTTAAATGGAGCTACTCTGATTTCTCCCCATGGAAGTAAGACCAGAATCAAGACCTTGTTATCTCCTTAGGGAATGCGTCTCCCTGCTTCTTTCTTCAAGCTCTTCTTTTCCTTTTAATGTACCTATCTCAGAAGTAGATAATTTCTTAGGCCATCTGTATACTCCTACCTTTTAAATAAATCACATTGGGTAATATAGAAGCTTATCTCCCCAAGAGTTTACCAATTATAATACAAGCAGAGAAACATGAAGCCCCTGGGTGAGGAAAACAGTCTGTGCCAGTGATTCTCAACCTTTTAGGATCAAGGCACCCCTTCATAATTTTTCAGAATTTAGGGGCACCCCAGCTGAGAACCACTGAACTAGAAGTTAGCTTGCGGGGAGGCCCTTGCCCACTGTGCCTGCTTTTTCTACCATCTTCCCCTTTCCAGCCCCTAGTCTGCAGCTCCTTACCTAGA